CCCCCCCCCGTCTGTCTCCTGTGGGAACTGTGGTAGCCTACAGAGCTTCTCAACGTGTTTCTTTACTTTCTCATGCTGTATGGAGATTTACTCTTTAATAATGAAACACAGGGAGAGGCGGAGCGGGATCTGCAGTGCCCCACAGATCTTCAAAGCTCCTCTGTGGCCGGGGAAGCAAAAAGTACTTCATCATTAGTGTCAGATACCTCAGTAGGCACCAGACCAGACCCCCGGCTGGATTTTAGGCTCGGCTTTAAGGAGAAGCTTTTGTCTTTTTTTTTTTTTTTTTTTTTTTACATGTCTGACAGAAAATCCTACTTTCAGTAAATCTGATGAAAAGCATGTCACGATGTTGACCAACCTGTTTGCCCAGATTTCTTTGAAACTCAGTGCAAAAACATGACAACAATGACGAAAGACATTGCCAAAATCAACACGAGAGCAATCAGTTGCACCTGACAGAAGGCAGCTGGGTGGGTTTCTCTTCTGCTCGCTGTGTAATCAGAGAAACCTCAAACAATACAAAACCATTAAAGCCAGTGCTCTGAATTAACACTGATTTACAGGCACACTCAAGTGTAATTACTTTGATTAATTAATTACAAAGGTTGTCTTGGCTTTTAAATACAGCAAATAAGCCTGGTTGATATACTTATGCCAATTTATCCAGTGGCACTTGGATGAGTGATTACGTTTTGTTTCGTTACAATATCATTTATTTTGTCGAAGGCTTAGATTAAATCTTTCTCAGCTTCAAACAAGAGACGTTCACCGATCCTCGTTCACACAGGGACGATGTTTTGCTGCTGGAGGACACATCGAATGCATCGTCTGAGACGGCGGAGCAGTGGCCGCCACACCGAGCCTTATTTGAACTGCATTGAAACCTCGTCACAAGCAGGAAAGCACAGCGTGTCAGCGCCCTGTGAGGCCCTCTCTCTGTCACACTGCATGTTATTTCATCTGGTCTCGTTTGCAGTGTTAAGGATGCAGGGGGTCAGCGTCAACATTTAGCCTGTTACCACATCTATAGAATCTACAAAGACCGAGCACAAATTACTGATAACTTTAAACTCATTAAGGCTTTCCTGTCGATTCAAATGGACACATTCTGTCTATGTCATGCAGAAGAGCTACAAAAGCTTGAGCTTGTGCACACTCGGTAATGAGGACTTTGATGCTGCAGTCTAGGTGTGTTTGTGATGCGATGTGCCCGTCTCCGGCAGGTGTGGGATGGAGCGGAGAGCGGGCGATGCCTGAGGGTTTACACCTGCCATTCGGGAGCTGTGCGTGACGCCCGTTGGACCCCCTGCGGCCGGCAGCTTCTCTCTGGCTCCTTTGACAACATGGCTGTGATCACAGACGTAGAGACGGGTGAGAAGCAACACTTCTATCTGTAGGTCTGACGAACACGATGTCACAGAACGAGCCGCTGTGAAGTCATCTGCAGCTGAACTACACTGAACTAGAATGACTGTGGTGTAGCTTTTCTATGTTTCTAAATAATGAATGAAGTTGCATTCGAACTGTATTACATTTACTTTGTTAGGTTTCAGTTTTAACTGCATTTGGGTTTAATATTTCTCTCCAAGTATATTTCTGGTATTGTGGGAAAACAAAACGTCTTACAAAATATTTTACTTTTAAGTTTAGTTTTTTTTAATCAAAATTTAAAGCTAGTTTAGTAATTTATGTGTAGAGTGATTCTGAATTGCCTTTGGGCCCAAAACTTGTTATAAACGCATTGTTTAAATTCTCTCTCTAGTCGTGAGACATTTCAGTGACATACTTTAAAATCTCTAGAGAGAACGTCACAACATTTTTTACATTTCCTTTGTCTACTTATAACTAAATCCACTTAATAAATTGGCTCATTGTGTTTGTCAGCCCTTTTGCGCGATCATATAAACCATTCAAGGTGACATTTACAGCTGATCCATAATTTGGTTTGCTTTGGAAATGCGCTTCCTTCTGGCCAAGCTTAACATCCTGGCAGAGAGGATAAGAACCGATCGTACAAACAATCTACAATAGGGACGCTGCTTGTTCAGCACCTCACTCATTTCCTTCACCTGAAGCCATTCATCAATTCCTACACAGCTGAAATAAAAGAATGTTGGTAAGAAGAGTCACAGAGAATGATCTAAACCCTTGCTGTTCCTTCATCAACATTTAGTATGTTGCCGTGTTCATATATGTAGAAGAAGAATGAGCCAACATACGATACACATTGTTTTGAAGCCCCCGTGGCATCTGCATCTCTAGGGTCAACACATTGCTTCGATGACTTGCTGCCGTTTGCACTTCCCCTCTCAGCATGTCTGTCAATACTGCCAATAAAGCCTACGGATAATAGCTTGGCCAGCCCTATTAAACACACAGGCAGCTCCAGGAAGGGGATCAATAATGGATACATCGCCACAGGAGCAGCCACCATGACCTTACACCGGAACGTCACAAACCACAACCATAAACAGCCATAAATAAACCAGTATTTTGGTCTTTTATTTTGGTAGCCAGTGTTGCTTTGCTCAGCGCTGTCGGATGTCCTCGTGCGGTCAAACAAAACGGCTTTGAAGTAATGTCAGACAGAGAGCCCGTACACATCAATCCTGCACCAACCTTTCTGTGTGTTATGATGTTATCTATTTATTTACAGATTTGTATAAGAATTGAATAAACCATATTGTTCTGAGGACAAAATTTGGGAGCATTAAGCATTCCTATGGCAGCACGAAATAAAGAAAATTGTATTTTGTTGCATATAAATATAGGAGTTAGGAATTCCTGCCCTTGTGCACAACCTCGTCACTGACAGTTTAAAATCATATTCACGCAGTGAAAAGAACGCAGAGGCCAAGCTGCGTAATATGCCTCCATAATCATTGATACACAGACATAACTATGAGGTTCTCATCCCATCTTTCCAGAGGATGACGCACATGACGCACTCACAACAGGGCCACACCGAGGGGCTGGCGTCGTTATGACGGTGATGTTTGAAAAATTAATGAAGCTCCCAACATTGTGTTAACACTCGATCTTACCAAGAGCGATGGGACACTGAGGGAGCTGAGTGTTTACTGCATCCCACTGTGATCAGGATGAATGTGATCTTTACCCTCTTCACAGTAATGCAAAGCCCCTCAACTCCAATAAGGAAGGCAGCTGGGCCTGGTCTGCTCAATTGCGCTCTATTTTCGAGATGTCTGCAGGCACTTTAATCATCAGTGAGAGTCTTATAGGACACCTGACCCCTTATTTTACGGCAGCATACTCTAACCACATGCTGCACCAATTGGTATGCTTAAAGAGAAATGGAATTATAAAGGAGCCTATGCATTCGGAATTGTGCGTGCACCCATTTTCCTTGGCCATCTTTACTGTTGGTCCCTGTGTCCAATTTAATTTGTAGAGTCTTATATCCACTCTCAGGGGTCCACAGGCAGGCTGCAGAGGGAGAGGAGTTTATAAAGAGGGAGAACAGGTTTAGGGGCATTATGCAAAAAGGAGGAGGGGAAGAATGAGAGAGAAAGCAATCAAAAGAGGCAGAATGAATTCAGAGACAGAGAAACACAGAGAGCAGGAGTTTGGGAGTGGAATACATTTATTTCACCTGGAGGGCATTAGTGTGAAGTGGCAGGTGTTGTCCGAGGCTTTCATCGTGTCACGGTGGAAGTGTCAGTCTGTGTAGGTGTATGCAGAACTTGAGTCTTCTGTCCAGATGCCTTCAGGCATTGGCAGAAAAGAGATCGTCCTTGTCTTTCCAAAAAAGCAATAATCCACCGAGATAGTGCCAGTACAAGAGGGGGCTTGTGTGTTGCTCTTTCACCTCCTGTTGGTTTTTGCAGAATTGTATTTCGGTGAATGTAGCTAAAGGCTTCAACAATAGTTTACACCCTTGATACCTCCATCACGCGTCCAGGGAGCTATTCAGTACAATATGGCTGTAGAAACACAGCTAGCTTAAGCACTGCAACCCAGGAGACAATGCATGCAGCAACAGCACACAGAGAAGCCTTTACTCCAAATGCCACCAGCAAGCATTCATGTTACATTCATGTTACAGTGAAACCTGCTAGGTTGACACAGGTTTTACTTCATTTTTATTCTATAGTGACTGACGCATTTATAACTCAATTTAGTGCACATGTAATAATCTTAAAGACGTTGGTATACTTCTTATACTGATGATATGATTTAAAAACGTCCAACATAAGGCGGGATCTGTTTCAACTGTCCCCGCCAGAAATAACGTCTTATTCAAATCCAAGTATACAGATGTTGCACTCTGTTATGCCGCGTTGTCAATGTGAGAGTGCTTATTGAACACTTGATCATTGAAACTGATTCAAGCCTTAATGATCGAGGTACATTTCCTATCACGATGCGTAACCACCTCCTATATGTAGCTGCAGGTTAGTCGGTGTTTGTCAGTGTTTCAGACTAGTTACGAAAATAACCTGTAAGCCTATTTTAGGACTATTACTTGGACATGACTTGTCAAAACCAAGTAATATGTTTCTAACCTTTGCCTGTGTTGCAGGGACAGCACCCTGCTCTGATGGATTCGATAATGAGGCAGAATATCCATTTCATCCCCGCTTCCCTCTGCTCTAAGCAGCTCGTCCCAATCGCCCCTATAGTGTCAGCTCAGTGTAGTCATCCTGTGTGTGTGTGTGTGTGTGTGTCAGCTCCTCAGCATGATCACAGTTCTTTTAGGACTACAAAGTCAACCGTCGTGAGTGGAGGGACATATCTCTGCAGACTTCCCTTATCTACCCTCTCAAGCAAGCTAATTAATCTTGCTTAACTAAACAGGACGAGGCCCTATTTATTTTGAGTGTTGATAACTCATTGTCTTGCCAGACTTGAGTTTAAAATTACGATGACAGATCTCCGTATCGCTATGGGTAAGCCTATTAGGCAGGAAGTGTGAGTTTGACGAAATTGCCTGTTAAAGCTTCGGATCAATGCAATTGAATTTGGGAGCATGCTGGATCGCCATTAAGAGAAAGAAGGTCTGTTTTTACTGCGGTTTATTAGCTGTGACTCGTGCCCCTTCTAAAAAGACTTGGTAGGAACATACTGGAAACGTGTGTGTAATGAAGTGCATTTTGTTGTGGGCTTAGACTGCTTTGGATGGGTTTATGTTGTTTGTTCTATGAATTAATGAGGAGCTGTTGAACCCCGAGGTGTTCTACTTTGCATAGCCTTTGACGGGAGCTACTGGCTCATAGTCTGGTTTGGCTCTTTATGTAGCCCTCTTCATTGTTTTCCCTGGAAAATAATTTTCCGGCGCACAATGACGGGCTTAATTGTATCTTAGCCCCGTCAGTGTTTTTCTTTTGTTTTTAAGACATTTTTAAATAGATCTTTAGATCAAACCACCTCAAGCCAAAACAGTGTTTTATTGTTATGGTTTCTCATTGCTACGTGTCTTCGTATTATTTTTTTGTCTTGAGCAATATTTAATCAAGTAGCGTTTTAGATTCGTATGATGTTCTGCTGTCTGGAAATATCCCAGACACGCTCCTGCCAACGTGCTGCAACCCCGCACACACAAGCTGTGCCATCTTTTAGATTTTTGGTCGGTCCCATCGCCCCGCCATCACCAGAAGGAGTTAGAAGACATACTACAGTTTAGTTGTTGAACTGCTCTGGGGGCATCCAATGATAAAAATAATTTCATTGTATCATAAGAAACTATCCATGGTCTATGTGAAGATCAAAAACTGATGGATGTAGCCTATAAACAAGCTTCTGACCTGGAGCGATCAGAGAAAACGTCTCATCCATTTATTTAGTTTAACGTCATTCTTTCACAACATTTTAGAAAGTACACTGAGTTGGGAATACAATCTATGGCAACCACTTGCAGCAAGATTTGATGTATCTTTTGCTACTGAGCTTCTTTAGGAATCACTGTTTATAAGCAAAGGTGACGGCAAAATGTAATTACACACAGGAGTCTAATGGCTGCTGGCACGGAGGATTGGACACAGTGCACTCAATCAATATACCAAACACAAGTCTCAGCAGAATTCGAATTAGTGGAAATGTAGTTGAAATTTATAATGTGTTTAGTTTAGTCTTGACAGCTGAGAAAGACAAAATGTGTAATTGAGCTTTTGATGTCGCTCAAACTGCAACAGGTTGTCTTAATTCATTCGTTTATTAGTCCAAGCATTTAATTCCTTTTGAATGTGTAGAAGAACACACACACAGGATGTACTTCTCTTTCTTCACAATCACAGTATTTTGAACACATCAAAAAAGCTGAACAACACTTACAAACATATATTGGTATATTGGTTCGTTCAGACAGATGTGTGCAGCAGCAGAAGGAAGGATGCTCCTTGGGCAGAGATTAAACAACAATAAGCTTTGCTTTGCTTTTTTGCTTTGGCCGCCCCGGCAACTCAGGGAGATGTTGGGGCCCAGAGAAGACAGAAACCAGCCAGAGGTCAGAGGTGAGCTGGAAACGAGTACCTCGGAGCTGAGTAGGCAACGCGCTCAGGTGCAAGCACTGCATGCTCTCTCATATACACACCATCAGGATGTTGAACCGAAAAGCATCACTGTTTCTTTACAAGATGCATCGTGTGGAAAGCAGTGCTGTTTACATCACATGAAAGGCTTCATGTTCTTACTGCAAATGTCAAAAATATCAACGTTGTTTTGTTTCAGAAGACTATGAAAGAAATATCTTTAATTGCAATCTACCTCTGGAAAAGATGACTTCATATCTACAGGATAAAAGATAAATATTTGGTCTTTGAAGACATTTGGGGTCTTTATTTTGTACAATATAAGGGCAATGTGTTGTTGATTTAAGTACCACCCTGCTTCAGAGAATCCTGCTGTAAAATGTTGTGTATCCTATATCATCAATTAAAAGTAACTTAATATATGAGTGCAAGATGTTCTTATCATAGGAATCTTAGCTTTTAGCACACATTCTAATATATTTACAGATCCTAGTGTGTAATCCAAGAGTTCGCTGCTGACGAGATGATTGAGCTTCTTTTCTCTCTCCGTCTCATTTCTTCTTGTCTGTAGGGCAGCAGGTAGTGAAATTGGACAACCAGTTCAAAGTCATGCGCGTGGTCCCGCATCCCAGCAACCCAGAGGTATTCCTGTGCGGTGGCCACAGTTCAACGGTCAAGGCCTGGGACTCTCGCAGCTGCAAGGTCAACCTTATTACCTCCCCCCACAGTAGATTTATCATTTTTATTGACTCTGGTTCACAGACCGTATACATCGAAGGCGGGTAGACTTTAAACACATGCTCCTCATCTACAGCTCCCTCCGGCACACCAGTTACACACACTAGTACAAACAACGCAGTCTTCATTTGGCTGTGCACCCATGCTTTATCTCACTAAAAGGATAATAATGCTGTATGCATAGAAGCAACACCGTGAGTTATCGCGCTAATTGTTCAAAGCAGATTTTAATTTCATTTGGGACTCATAAGTTGTTCCTGTGAAGCTGCAACCTAGTCTTGCTATTAAGCTTAATGGACTGTTTTATATGATAATCCTATTCACCTCCTTAGAAACTGAGTGCTCTCACAGCTAACTGAATAGTTTCCCTGCAGGTTTTTTAGATTTAATACAGCAGGGATTGCTTCTGCCAGTAGGTGTCAATGTGAGTTACAGAGTGAGTGTCGACCAGTCCTCAGCAAATCGGTTTGCTGAAGCTATAGCGCCCTGGCATCCTGTCAGTCTCAGTCTTGGGCTGTGTTCTTCTTGCTTTTGGGGTGAAATGATCCTACCAGATAAAACGGCTCACAGGAGCAACATTAAATCATCAATCTGAAGTCTTTCCAAAAGGTCTACAATGTTACGTTAAAACTCATTGATAAGATCAAGAGTTTAACGTTTGGCTCACGTTACAAAGCAGAAGGAAAGTGACAGCTAGTGGTCAGAGGTTAAATTGTCCGATGTTGAGGGTAGCTACAAGCTGTTCGCTCTGCAGCTCTGAAATTAAACCTAATCCAATAAAGAAAAATAGCTGCTGCCATCACACAGCAGTAAGACCGGTACAGGTGTCTCCAAATAGAGAGAGGGGCTGTGTTCAATGTACGCATGTGGCACGACAGTGGTAACTTCAAGATGTGGTATAAATAACTACTTGAGATTCTTCACACAGTAATGCTTCCCACTGTACCATAGATTGAAGAGGATTCCTCCTCGTCTTCAATAAGAATTTTAAAGGGCTTGGTGCTAATTTGTGTGTTTCCAGGTGGTGAAAGTGTACAAGGCAGGGATCCAGCAGACCCTGGACATGCTGTTTCTGAGAGGTGGTGTGGACTTCATAACGAGCTCTGACTGCGTGAGCAGAGACTCTGCCGACCGCACCCTCATCGCCTGGGACTACCAGACCACAGCCAAGGTCTCCAACCAGATCTACCAGGTAGAGAAATGTGTGTCTGTGAATGAGGGAAAAAAAAAATCAGTATTTCTAGAGTTGAATTAAGGATTTATTGAACAGTACAAGAAGTCCCCGGGGTCTTGTAAATTGTTCATATTATTTAATATGTAGGATGGACAAAATAACAGGAACAGTATACAATGCCATTTAATACAGCACAAACTGTCGCCTCAGAAATAACCATAGTAGACGAATTGCATGATATGATAAAGCTTCAAGTACCAGAATCTGAACATAACGCTTTTTCCAAATAATGATCTAGTTGACATGCAGCTGATTTCCCCCCCCCCCCCCCCCCACTCATTTGGCCACCAGGAGCGATACACGTGCCCCAGCCTGGCTCTCCACCCACTGGAGGAGTCTTTTGTTGCTCAGACTAATGGGGACTACATGGCAGTGTTCTCCTCCCAGCAGCCCTATAGAATGAACAAGAGGCGGCGATACGAAGGACACAAGGTCAGTAACGACTGTGGCCTCAGGATGGGGGGGGGTGTTGACGCAGGCCTGATCAATACAGAATGTACACTCGCACAAACAACTTCAGCAATATCCCACAAAACTGTAGAAAGGCAGTAGAATAAGCTTATACACGCACAGATGCAACGTACAAAACATATAGCTGACATGTACCGTAGATCCATAACCTGTTTCCTCCGCAACACCCTCCCCCAAAGCAAACACACTAAGTACAGAACAATATTTCCACTGAGGAAGGCAAACAGTGCAGATTATTGCTGGCAAATATAACTGAAAGCACGATGAGCTGCTACAGTGGTGTGTGGTTTGTTGATTCAAGAACAATGGAGAGGAAACAAAGTGGTGTCTCACATTCTATGTCCTGTTTTTTCTCTGGTGGCCCTGAGGTGCAAAACACAACATTTCAAATCAGTAAAACAGAAAATTCAACATTCCAGAAACACAAAGACATTTAATTTCTGAACCTTTTTCATGTTTTCTTACTACTTTAAAGCAAATACTTCTAGTATAACTGTTAGCAGCCAGTGTGTCTCCTTTAATGTGATTGTAAATACTCCAGATGAAGATTCAAAGTTATCTGTTGCTCTAAACATTTATCCTGTCGATACTGATCCTGAAGAAATTCGTCCTAATTCATTTCTAGGGTAAGAGAAAAGGGACAAAATACGAGGCCTCAGCATTGTGAGTTAGACAAACCAAGTGGTTATCTTATCTAGAGTTACATTCTCTGTTTTACATATGTACACTACACACCACACGGGGGCATGTGAGTGTTAAATATATAATATAGACTGATATAGTATTATAAGTCGCATGGTCATTGTCATTTTATGTCATAATGCTAGTTTCATCTGCAGCCACCTGTATTATTATACTACTGGTGATCATTAAACACAGTAAAGAAGATTGCATTTGTTTCTATACAGAGATGCTTAACAGTGTGGCATACTATTATAGATTATTTCAATTTCACTTTATGTTGTTTTTATTGATTTGTGATATAGTATACTTCCTGGAAAGTCAATTGAGAAACAGTTTTAAAGATTAAATAACCAGATCAGAATGTCTGTTAATCTAATGAATGAAATGAAACCGTCTACTCTGATACAACCAGAGATGTTAAAAACATGCATGCTATTTCAACATTTAGGCTGCCCGAGTCTGGATCACAATCCAGTTGTTAAGCAGACTAATGCATTGTAATGGACACATATATTGACACAGTATACTCTCGTTCTAGGTTGAGGGATACGCGGTGCAGTGTGAGTTTTCTCTGGATGGAACTATCCTGGCCTCAGGGAGCTCCACCGGCTCCGCTCACTTCTACGATTACCACAATGCTCGTATTCTGCACACTCTCCACGCCCACAGCCAGCCCTGCCTGTGCGTTTCTCAGCATCCCATCCTGCCCGCGACTGCGGCCACCTGCGACTGGGCCGGTGAGATCAAGGTCTGGCACTGAGGACTGTGAATGAACACGTAAATATGGACTGAAAAAGACCAAGAGAAGATTATATGGAAGTAAAACCTTGTGTGCACATCCATCTGAAAGACTTAATCTCCCATAATCTCTGTGCATAAAATGATAAGAACTGGGCAAAACAAACCTCTCTATGGTGTAAATGTTTTTGTAAGCATGTCCTTCTTATTTGTCTAATGGTTTTAACATCCTGACAGGGAAAGATACACTGCGTGAGATAAACAGAAGTATGATTACAGCTCAAAGAGTGAACTATTGTGAAGTGGTAGGCGGTAGCAGTTTAGGTGCGCACGCGCACACACACAAATAACTTTAATGAGTTTTGTAATCAACTTTCACTCTAAAAACAGCATGGGACTTCAACATCATGCTCTTGAAGTTTTTGTCAAAACAAAAATAAAAAATCTCTTCAGGCATTTTCTAATCAGTAGTGTTTTTCATTCCGCATTCTGCATACACATCACTTCACTCTGTGCCTTTTTGTTCTCACTGCTCTGATAATGACATTTTATTTTCACACTGGCAGCTTAGAAAATGACAGAGCGAGACGACCACAAAAACTACAGAAAATACGCATCTGTCAAAACATTGCCAGATTCTTCCAAAATCCTGCCAGTCAACAACAGAGCAGTGAAGTGCAGACAGATGCTTATGATCTTTATTCTAGCAAAACAGTCCTTAAAATACACTTGGCACAGGGAAATTCTAATGGCTCAGTACTTTCTCCAGCCCCTGCGGTTGTTTATACTGTAGTCAGTAATAGTTCAACAGTGTTGTCTTAAAGGACCACTAAGTAATTTGTGAAGCCAAATGCTAATTTGAATGTTTTTAATGGCGAAAGCTTCTGCTGTTTGTAGTGATTCTTATGTGTTTTTTGGCTGGCTAGCACTTCCAATATGGAAGATCATTAACGTTAAAACAAATTAAAGAGGCTAATAAAATAATAAGGCTTCAAAACACCAAAAAATAAAGTAAAGGACCAGCATACGCAGAAAACCATGGTGAACATTGGAGGGTCTTTTCAGGACAGACATCTTTCAAGACGGTGTTGCCTCTTTGATGTTTAACAGGTAAGTAACCAAACTTTTAACTTAACCACGTTAATCTTCACATTATCCATCATAGCTAATAATGTCTGATTAATCTACTAACTGTCACATTGGGTGTTTAAGACAGTGGGGAAACATCTTTAGCGAAAATTCATGCTATATTCATGAAGGTTTTTCTAGGAATTGACAACCTCCAAAATGGATCCTGAATTTCCGATCAGGCGATCAAAAATGCTTATCCCATGTTCGGCCTAAACATCTGTAAGTCTGGCAATTTCCGAAAAATCCTCTCCCTGTCACTTTTGACAGGATAACATAAAGCTTAATTGTGGCATCTCAAAGCTAAATAACAAATCTATAATCGGTACACAGAGGAGTTTCTACAATCAGTTGAGGGAGTCAATTGGAATCTTCAGAAATAATTAGTGCAAAAATAATTTCCCTGGAAGCCAATGATGTATTTCCCAACATTCATCTTTATTAAGTAAATCAACATACATCAAAAATATATAACCATGCATTAGACAGACAAACATTTAGACATTTAGACGGCTGGCCTGTTGTTCCTGGAACAGGGCTGGAGGTAGAACAGGACAGAACCACTTCAGCCTCTTCATTCAGCGTCAAAACATTCAATAAATATAACTAAAACTGGATAAAAAATAGTCATAGTGTAATAACAACTGCGGAAGTAGTTTCTATACCTCATTTTATACATTATGTCCACAACAAAAATAACCACATATCCTCTCAATCCCGCTGTACAGTCGTTACATTTAATTCCTAACCTTTTCAATCCTTTATGTAGATACCTATACATTGTATGAAATACGACTATAATTGGAGACTTTTTGTGGTGCACTTTCACCTTCATAACATGCCAGGTCAAAAAGAAGGGATGCAGTTTTTAAATCTTTAATAAACAGCCTTAAGCCAGTTCCCAAATCTGCAGGAATGGGAGAGGTAGAGGCATGGCCTTCCAGAAGAATCTATATGCGACTGCTCGAGGGCAAAGCTGAGACTATTTAGCTTTCACCATTCCTCCCAGATCTATAGAGCTACGCAGGCAGGAAGAAATCCTTCGAAGAACTATCATGCCAGAGGGTGCTACTAACTGTAGCAGATGTTAGCGTGATTGTGGGGCAGCAGGACAACCTCACTGCAATTCTTTCTTTAACATAAGGCTCATTATCATCGTTGAAATTCTCCAACGGGACAGCATGTCTTTGCCAATTTCTATGTACGAATATACACACACTTTGTTTATCTTCACAGTGTTCTCTCAAAACTAGTCTAATTCAGCATGCTGGTTTAAAAACAAAACAGGATGTACATTTTTGTCTTTAATCAGTCGTTTCTTAGTCCCGTCTCAGTACACTTTTTCACTTTTTGTGAATTCATTGCAGAATGTTCTAATTAATCGCTCGTAAAAACTCGTGCAACAGTGTTTAAGAGTTTGTGTCAGGGTATAAATTTGGCTGCGTGGGCCAGATTATCAGACGGGGATTAAGCTTCCTTCGTCTTTCACCAAAAACTAATTTCAATGGAGATCTCCACTGAAAAATATCCCCAGTCTAAGAACGGACTTAATCCTTTTCCAAGCAACTGGCCTTATGTGTGTTACGTCTAACGGGAAGAACATACGCTGTAACAGTAGGGTATACGTACAGTAACAATACATCAGATAATACAGTATGTACACAGTTGTTGTAATGGAGACCATTCTGTCCACTGAACAGGATTAAGGCAATTTCACAAGTGTCCTGGTATGAGGGCAATTACTGTGCAGCCTTCATTTTGATACAAAAATAAGAAAAATTCCAGCAAAAAAAATCCTACAGTTCTATTTAACAATTTCTGTCTTTTCTTTTTGTTCACCTGGCAACGTATTGTAATTTTATTTATTCATATTTATATGTAGGGATTTGAAGTTTCCAATACACAAGTGAGAAATCTAGCATCAGGAAGGAACTCTCGCCATTTAAATTCAGTGTATTGCCATAAATGTTACACAGCTTTTACGTAAAATACAATCGCTTGTCTAGCCAATTTGGAAGTGGAAATAAAACATCCTTTTTAGTTAGTGGCGATTACAGACAATGTCGCTATAATAAATAATTCAGCTGGAAATTAGTTTTTCCACCTTATTTCTGCATTATACAGCATGCATATTGTTTAAGACAAAACAGAGAATGAATAAATCTTAAATAAAACAGCTTGCAGTCAGCAGGATCCACTCAACGTAATCCCCAAAAATGTGTGATGGATGCACACGCTCTAGTCCATTATCTATACGGTGTATATTAGAGCAGAATTAATGGTCTTTTGCTGGTTTTACTAACAGTTCTTAACACTAAAAAAAGAGAGCAAATTGCACAGTATGTTCATGTAGCTTGGTCTGCATTGTAGTTCTTCCCCTGTTCCCGCTGGCTCTAATAATCAACAAACAAAAACATACTGAATAGCTGGTCTCAGGTAGCTACACCGTATCATGACACACAATAGAAAACATGTTGCAGACTGCATGAAACGTGCCTTGGCTAAAAGATACATAAAACAACATTTTAATACCCAATCACGCCACGTATGTGTTTGGTGCAGTGATCTTTTGAGACATACGGTACAGAACAGTACAGTAAGTTCATCATCATCATCTTCATGCATAAAATGAAAGGTTCTCTCTCTCTCTGCTCAGTTCAGCAGTGTACCGTATAGCTGTGCCTTGGTCAAACTGTCCTTCCTTGTCAATCCCGTGCTGCCAAATTTTTGGTATCTTGGAGAGGACTTCTTTGGGAGTGCGGGGCCAACACTGAGAGCGGAGCTGGAGCTCGGGCGAGGCCGAACACTCGGCCTGGGGCTGGGGTAGTGTTGAAGACTTGAGGCTTCGAGGGAGCTTTGGTGTAAGGACTCAGCGGAGCTGTCTGCACTCAGATTTACGTAGTCCTTCTTGGCATTGCTTGCTGCCGTTGCTCCTCCGCCAGCCTCCTTCTCTTTAGAGCTCCCTGAGAGGAACAAACTGCACTCGGAGTCCTGACTGTCCTCCTTGGCTCTATACAGCACAGACGTTTTCTCCTGCTTCCGATGCTCCATAGGTTTCTGACTGCGGCTGGGTGACGGGGGAGCCACAGCAAAACACTGGTCCAGCACACGGCTGTGGAAGATGTCATCTCCTTCTTGGAAGCTGCTGTAGAGAGAGCCCTTGACCTTACTAGAAGGGCCCACGGCAAATTGGCGCTCAGAGAAACTGTACGGAGAGACACGCCCTGTGATGTCACGGTAGGAAGAGGAGAACGCGTTGATGTCTTCTACACTGAGCTGTCTCCAGCGGTTGCTTAGGTCGTCCTCAGGGACCTGGATGTCACCACGGCTGTCCAGAGCTCCTCCACGAGCCTGGCCCAGTCCAATTGTGGACCCCATGCTGTGGGAGGAGGCCAGGCGAGGGGTGCTGGAATGGTATGGTTCACTGAAGCATGAAGCAGTCCTCGTGTACGCTGCTGAATTGCCCTTCTGCGGGCTCCTGGGGGTCACCATATGCTGGATGCTGAGAGACTTGGGGAAGCTTGGAATATCTTTATCGTAAGAGGACATGCTTTTGCGCTCATAGTCCGCACTGCCACCGTCTCTCCAGTCCATATAGAGACCCTGGTGGGAAGAGGATAAGGTGCTGCTGGCAGTGCGCCCACAACCGCCACCAACTCCTCCCTTCTCATCGGATGCGAGGCTGAAGCTAGAGTAGGAACTCGAGGCAGGGAGGCTACCAGTGCCAAAGTCATCATGGTGGAAGGAGGATTGGGGCTCATGGTGGGAGAAACTTCCAGATTGGTAGGCCTCTTCATCTGGGTTGCTGTCAGTGGAGTTCTGGGCGTGCAGTTGGTGCAAAGCGGTGCCGTGGAGGTCAACGCTCTGCCTGCGCTCTGTATCTTGCCATCGTTCAGGACAGTAGAGGGCTGTATCGCTGCAGTACAGGTCAGATGTTTTATATGAAAGGCGACGGTTCAGCTGATCAGTGCTTCCTGTTACTGTAAGAAAGCCTCCATCCTGTGGCTGTGGGCTCGGTGAGCGTGTTACAGGGCAACTGCTTCCAGGTTCAGGCTTCGCCAGGACCTTGGCAATTATGTCTGTGGGCACAGCGTCAGAGTATTTTGAGTGGCACATTGCTGTGGTGGCTCCGCTACCCCGATTATGTTTCTCCATGTGGGAACTGATGCGTTCCTGGAAATCCAGCGGCATCTACAACAGACATACAGTACAAAGAGACAAAAGAAGCTCCATGAAGCTGGGACATAAAAACAAAATATATGCAGATGTTTTTGTGACAGCTACTGAGCCAGTCTTTAAATTTAGCCAAGAAAGGGAAGAATTTCTCAACAGCTTTTCCTTAATTATTTATAGAATCAACTTGACTCTCTTCCTTAATCTGCTTCTGCACAGAAGGTATTTTTAGAGTCATTCCTGGAGGACTTTAATCCATAGTTCTGGTTTAGAAAGTCATTTATTCTCGCAAAGCTCACACAGTCCACACCAGTTTGTGTACCTCAGAGGAATTGCACTACTTGGCCCCTCTAATGAACTTGTCAGAAAATTGCTGAACACAAGCTTTAAGTATTTATTTGTTTGTCTGCTTTCCTTTTCCCAAAAGAAAATCTTTTTCAACATTTTTTTCCCTGTTTTCTTACCTCAACTTTCCATAAAAAAATTGTAATGGGAAAATGAATGAAATATTTTTTGGACAACATTTTTGTCTCTCCAAATAATTATCTGTTGTTCTCTCTTCCATCTGTTTCTCTGTCTCTGTCTCTCTTCCTCTCTTGTCTCACTCTCGCACACACACAGACACACACATTATCTGTAGGATTGGCTAATGTTTGAGAAAAGTGTTCCTGTAAATTACGGACTGGTTTCTTTGTGCCTATTAAAGCTGGTCAGGATCAGTAGGAACTGTTCCTGCCACACTGAGTTCTCTCTTTTCTCATCCCTTTCTTTATCCTTTCATCTTTCTCCTCTTGCTCCAATACCTTCATTGACCAAGAGGCCCTTATTCCTTCTCTCGCTCTTGCCCTCTTTCTTCTGTCTACCATCAAACACGTATCATTTCCACAGGGAACGGCTTAGATTCAAATTAAACTAGTGCTCCAGGTCTCCAGCTGGGAATAGAAAAAAAAAAAAGAAGATAAAATACTGACTTGGCTTTGTTAAGAAATAGAAACTTGCCTCGGCATAAAATAACTTGCATCTTTTAAGTCTGAGCTATTTTTAGCAGCCACTGCCATTCCCAGAGGGAATGGAGATGGAAAGTAGGTGAGGCTGTGGGGTGGGGGGTGGGCTCCAAGTGAGCTAGCTCAGCATTAGCTGCTATCTGAGGCAAATCTTAATTAACAGCCACACAGTGTTAATCCACGTGACGGCATGCAGGTCTTGTTCCATTTATGAAAATAAGTGGTTTAATGGTGATGGAACTGGCACTTATTATTTTAGTCATTCTAGCAATTCACTCTTTAAAGGCCATTTCTATAAAATACTCTACCAATGGAGTAGGTTTCACATTTCCTTGTTTTATAACCAAATTATTTTATTAAAAGTGAGATTATTAAAAGAGATCTTCAATTGGCTTTTTGCTGAGCCTCTGCCCCCTTAATTACCGCTACTGCCCGTTAAATGTTCTTACACAGCACAAGGCGCAGTGTACAATAATAACAATGGCAAATTACAAACTCCCAAGTTTGCAGTAATCTTTTAACTTCGATTTCACATAGAAGTTAGCAAAAGCGGAGCTCATTTCTAGCCTTCATTTGCGGATTTTTGTCAGTTGAAAAGATAACGATCAATAGCAGATTTTATGAGGGGTAGCTAGCTAGCACAAGCTAATGCTATAGCCAAAACTACAGCAGTAGTTTAAAAAGTTACTTTTTAATGTTTCCAGGTGATTTGTTTTACAACCAAAAAGCCTATAAAAGGGTCTTAAATATGCACAAGATGGCTATAATGCTACAGCTACATGTCCCAGTCAGTGTGTAAACACCCTCACCTGTAGATGATATAAGACATGGAGAAGCAGCATTGTTTGTGTATTGTAGGGAAGAACTAGTTGGCCATAGTATTATAGTAAAGTATTATTTATTTCAGGGTTTGCGCTGCAACATTTTTACTTGGCCTTGTATGACCAATAGCTTATGTTGGCAATCTTAAGACAGATATTGCTATATAACAGACATGCCTGAGTCAGTTTGATAACTTTTTACAGTTTTCTTCTTGTGCTACAATATGTTTTTAGTTCATCCCATAATTGTCACTTATTGCCGCAGTGGCTGCTGCTCTTCTAAAGTTATATAGACTTCTTATAAGCTACTAGTACAATTAACCTCCAGCCTGCTTTCGTGTCCATCACTGTGTTTATTAAAGTAGAATCAGAAGTATAAGAAAGATGGAAAACATAATCTTTTTAGAGGTTTTGGAAGGTGAATTGTCCCATTTCTTATATAAAATCATAAATGAGAACTGATGAATATATAATTATCTAAATAGTCAATGTATTTGTACAGAGTAATTTTCAAAAGTACAACTTTTATTCTTTTGTGCATCAGGTGTCACCTCAGGCCGGGCTTTCATTTATTCATTCATTATGCAGAGCCGGGGTGCAGACAGACGGCACTTCAGACAGCAGACCTTCATCAGTCCGATACTGAAGAGGCCATGAGCACTGCGCTTCAGTCTAATTGTGAAAACCACTCACCAAGGCTTAAAGGTATACACTTACACAACATCGAGAACATTACAGAAATAATGCACCAAGAATAGTTCATTAGCACACTAATTGTATACAGCTAAACTGTACATACTGTTCAATTATGGATGATGTAGTTTTATCCATCAATCTGATGAATTCCAGTAATGAATACAGAGGATTTGACCTCAGCTATACAGCCCTAATCAAGCTGCTTATTCTGGATCTTTTTCAGCCTTCTGCTATTGTGGAGGTGTGTCTAGTCTAATTTGGTAAATCCAAGAAATCAATTCAAGTAATTTCTTTAAATGGTTTTAACATACTTTTACGTCCAAAGGTTTGCAAACATTGTTTTTTTTATTGCAGCACAGAATTGAATTTACTCATCGATGCAGTTGTAGCAGTGTTGGGGAGCTCACCTCAGACAACTTGTGTGCTCTGTAGTGAGACTTGCACTGCAGCAGCTGGGCTGCCAGGTTGCAGTCTTTTCTGTACAGGTCCTGTAGGAGGCAGAAAGATGATCCCCTGTCACTAAATTCATTCTTGTTAACTTTGGCAGCCAGAGTGGTGCAAGTAAGCTTTTGACCAACAGGGATTGTGTTTTCACTTTACAATACAGCCTTCTAATTGTGGTTGAATTATTCTGTAATTATGGGAGCCTTTCGGAGGAAATAATTTCAGGACAGAGTAATGTATTGTTACCGTGGTACTATAGCAACAACAAATCAAAAAATAAGTATATACTGTATATATGTGTATACATATTTATATTTAAAAACGAATAAACAAAAACAAAATGCCTGGCATGACTGGATTTTTCAATAATAAGAAATGTATAGTATAGCATACAATATTTAGCACACAGTGTATTTGTATTCCATTGGAAAATTGGGATAAGTAGCCTACTGCATTAGGCAATTAATTGATTTAGTGAACTGTCAAATAAAAGGAACACATTCTTCAATTGAAGCTGGTAGAGTTGAATTAGTTAGCTCGTATTTATCACCGTGGCCATATTATTTCACTAGGTTTCACATCATGTGATTGCAGGATCTTAATAACACCACTAACCTTTTTCATGTATAATATGTCCGCCCAGGACAGTCTTTGCTCATTTTATTATGTATTCACATATCTGCACATTCCAACCTACGGAAGAACCTATGAAGCATTATTTTCTTTCTTTAACGGATGATTTTTTGATTTTTGCTGAAAAAGAGCAAAGCGAGGGTGATCCATTGCACAGCAGTTGCTCAGTTGAACCGTTTCCTGCATTTTCTGAATTCACGTGTTTGTGTTGGTGGTTATCTGGTTTAGTTCACTTTCTTTTCCTCTCTCTCCTCTGTGAAATCCATCCTTTTATAAAGGTCAGTTCATGCTGCACTGTAGCCTCCCTGTGCCTCTATCACTACACAGCCCTGTCAATGCTTCCCATAACATCAGAGCCCTCTCTTTGACAGTTTCAACTCCCTCACCAGTTAACACTGACTGCTTTTTAAATCACTATTTCTTTTCTTTTTGTCGCCAGGCGACATTCGGGCTCCCGGTAGTTTCTGTGGACGTGTCAAATAAACCGTTGGGACCGCGGTGATGTCTTCGTTAACATGAGTAGTGTGTTTTGCTGGGAATGTCAGCCACCAGCTGCTGTCGAGACAGTTTCTGGGAGGTCTTGAGATGAGGTCATGGTATATATTTTAGATGACTATGTGAATAGAGCAATGAAAGTTTTTGGTTTTGTTCGTGCGGTCAGATTGCCTTTATCAAGCATGGACGAATTATGGGACTGTCCCTAAAACAAGGTAGCTAGACCCAGACTGAAAGAGATACAAAACGACTACAAACGGCAAGGCTGCAGATGTATCTCTTTGTAGTTGTTTTGTGTTGTAGTTATAATGTCTCTTTGTAGTTGTTTTTGCATGTTCTTTATGCCATTTTGCATCTCTTCGTGGTCATTTTTCTTCCCTTCGTGGTCATTTTGCATCTCTTTATGGTCTATTCCTTTAGTTTATCCCATGTTATAAGTAGTACATTTAAAGCTTGCTCTCTGGAGGAAAGGCCTGCCCTGCTGCTGGTTCTTATGGAACAAATTATCCTCCCACTCTAAATGAACCTTGACTCCAATCAGCCTGGCCCGATCTGGGAGGATCGTCAAAATACTCTATAGCGCAGAAGTGCTAAAAACTGCCACAAGAGTGAAAATCTAACCTGACCTGGAGCCCCCAGTAAGAAAACCCAGTTAAATCACTTCACAGAAAGTGAGGCACCAGATTGCCACATGCCCCTGACCTCAGATCCCCGCAGCCCCGGCTCCAAATTCTAGCAGCCCTGAGGATGCCCATTGATGTCAGTATAATCACTATAAAACACCCAGTGGCTTAGAGTTAATTCCTCTATCTGCTGTGGCACCTTGAAGCACAAATATCCAGAATGTTGCAAAAATGTTGTGAATATGAGACTTAAAGCAACAGTGAGTTCTCAGAGAAAGCTGGAAATGTGACAAGAGAAAGTTTCCGTCAGCTTTTTGAAGAGTTGTCAGAGTTGAAGAGGTGCTAAGAATGCTGGATTACTGACCAGGCAAGTACAGCAAATCTCTGTGGCCCTTAATGCCCCATATACTACTGCTTAATTTGTGGGCCTGAAGGTGGAATATGATTTGGGAGTGACTTCAACTGAACTTTCATCACACAAAAAAGGTTCACATTTTGTACAAGTGAGCACAATGCTGACAGAGATGCTGTCAGTTGGAGCTCATATTACATGATGCAGCTCTGGGTACTCACGTTGTCCTCTCTGAGTTTATTGGTTGTGATCTTCGCATCCATGAGGTGGTTGTTGAGGAGGATGATTTCCCGGCTGAGGGCTCTCTTTTCCTCTTCATGGTGCTGGGACTGCAGTGTAAAAGAGAGAATTGACAAGGGAGAAGAGAAATTGAAAAACAAAGCAACATAAAACCAAAACAAAAAAAGGATGTTAGAGGTTGAGATGATGAGTGGGGGGACAGGAAGCAAAAGGTTGGACCAAAGAGTTGAGATAAAGAGAGAAAGATGAGGAAGCTAAAGTTGGAGGAGCAACGGAAGAAAAATAAGATGATAGAAGAGGGGAAGAAAAATGAGAGGAAGGGAGCCGTAAATCACTATCAGTCTGAAGACGGCGCCAGCTGCAGGTCTTAATTAAGAGAAGATTACACTTGCCAGCGCTCATATCATATCAATTACTCTGGGAGATAGACAAATAGAGGGGGAGAGAAGAAGGAGAGAGGAAAACAAAGAGGGAGAGAGTGAGAAAGACAAATGAAACACTCGTTCCAATTTCATTACTGTCAAAGAAATGCAAAATGACTGCGCTGGAGTGACATTTCAGCCCCAGTGACAGTGGAGTCTAATGATGGAGATGTCATCTCGTCTTTCTGTCTGCCCACTTTAATCTCGACAACTGTCTGCCACATTGTCCTGCAATTTGGCATAGACATTCATGGTGCCCTGAGGATTATTCCTAATGATTCTGGTGACCCAGACCTCATCCTCATCTGCCTAAAAGTCCTATTTATACACATGAAATTAACAGTTGATTGAGTAACATTGTCTTGCTCATAGAGGATGAACCATTTCGGTTTTCTACACACTATGAGCTTTCCTCTAGCATCATCCTCAGTTCAGTTTTGATTTCAATTACACTGTGACTTAAGTTCAGAGGTTGTCATCAGTTTGTTAATTGTTCTGTACCACATCTTTACATTGTAAGCTGCGGTTGACATTGCAGCTTCTCGGAGCCAGTAGTGGGTTCTGTTGGCTAAAAAAACAATTTTCTTTTTTATTCTCTCTCTGACACACACACACACACACACACACACACACACACACAAAAATAATTGTGAAAGCTGCCACACAGCGCCGGCTGACAAATGATACAGCTCTAAACACTCGTTTGGCCTCCTACCCTTCTGTCTTTTAATCTCTATGGCGGTGATTGTTTTGATATACAGGGGTGCAGAGCCAATTTAATAGGTGGCAATTAATGTCAGTTTAAGCAATAGGCCAGCATTGATATTTAAATTCTGTTAGGATCTCATTAATCAGCTGTCGAGACATGCAGCTGCCTGGAACGCTTTCTCCAGCTCATTACTCTGGACTTCTTTTCACATTTTCTGATGCTGATTGTGCGGATGACCACATCGGAGCACTTTAAAGCTCAGATATCTAATTGCTCCCTGTTCTGTCTTTGTTAAAATTATGTTTTATTGGATCAAAGACAATTTCTCACTCAGATGTTATTATACATAACAGTTTTGTCATGTAATATATTGCCGTAAATACAAGAGTGACGCAATAGATCTTCTGGTTCCAACAGAATAGTGTAACAAGTCGTTTTAAGTAATATTCTGCTCCTTTTTTGAGTAAAAGTAAAAATACCACAATGTACAAATACTATAATAATTGTTAAACCTGTATTACGTATTTTTTTGGCCACATGGGGGCAGCAAAACAAGTTGTTAAAACAAATTCACATATTATCACCTTATTAAATTGGTATAGCTCATTTGTTAGCAAATAGTTGATTATGTACACCCCCGGCAGGCTTTATCATTCATTTGGAGTCTTGTTTATGTCCACCTGGTGAATGCAAGTCCAATATTCAATCTTATTTTAGTGTGGTTTAGTTTCCACTAAATTCTGTGTGAAACATCTGTCTCTTGAGCTGCTAAATGCTCCACTATGCTCACCAAACAGCTGTTTGCTGCATTTACAAACGACGCTGATGAGATTGAATCAACAAATTAACGTTGCGGGCTGTGAAAACAAAGCAAGCAGCTAAAAGACACCAAATGCTCTGTAGTGCTGAGTTCATGAAGCAAGTCTTTTTACATTACACATCGTCATTTGATCCATTGTTAATGTAAAGATATTCATTTAATGTCACTTTAAAAAAATCTGCAGTTGTTTCTTGGCCCACCCTCCAAAATCTCAAAAATTATCTTGACTAACAATGTTCATCCAAAAAAAATCCCAAACTACTTTTTTCCTTGGAGGCCATGGTTCGCAGACAAAAAGGTTTGTGAGGGGATAAGTTGGGAATGTAAAAATATTTAACAGCGCAGCTTTTATATTAGTAAAAGTCAAAAAACACTTATTAATCCCCCAAAAAACATCAAGCAGGTTCAGCATTAATATCTGTTTCTTCTTATCTCTAAAATCCCTCTAGAAAAAAATTTAGTAATGTATAATGTACTGACAGTAAAATTTATCCTAGAAGGTCAAAAAAGTTTGAAAACCGTGTTGCGTATTTTCAAAAATAATTTACCACTTTGAAGCCAGAAGAAACCTTTTTCCTCACTATAGCTGCTGACTTTGAACGCTTTCATACATCCAGTAATCGCTCGGATCTTCTTACAAACTGATACTTCACTGACACACGTTTAAAGGCAAAATTGGAAACAGAGTCTACTTATAGATAAAAAAAAATGAAACATGGAACAATCTTAATAGCCCTAATATGATGAACATGGTCTTGTACTGTACTTTGGAGAGAGGGAGGAAGTGAAATTGTAATTACAGTGTCATGACCAGCGGAAGAATCACATCTATCTCCTCTAGTCACACTGTGTTGGATACACAGGCTGTCACCAAGACGTTCTTATCAGTTGCTGCCACACATATAACAGAACCGCATCAAGGAAAATTAATATGCAAATTTTGACTATCTTATCTTACAGAGATTGACCCAGTGGTGGTGGAGGGATGCCGATCTGTTTTTGTCTTTTGATCATACATATATTTAAGTTTTTTTTACTCAGCAACTAGATGTCTGTGACATTTGAACACGCATTTAAATCCTGACTCAGTGAACAAATAGGCCAGTTTTCTCCTCTGTCATGCAGATATGGAATAAAACAATATTAACAAAACAAAACTTTTAGAGCTTGTTCCAATTATTAATTCAAAGGATTTGTTGAATTGGGAGCACAGTGTATAAAAAGAGAAAAATATGTCTTTTCTGAGACACTCCCAATTTGATTTAAGTATTCTGCTGGTGATTCGGCCGTTTCACTGGACAACAAATGAAGCCTGAATCCCATGAGATGCAATTACTGAAGACTGCGGTTTATGGAGGAGAGCGGAAAACTCCACTCCAGTTAAATACAATCTTGCTTTAAACTTATTTACTTTAAACAAATCACATTTTCTAACCAAGATGATTTTTAAGTGCTGATAACAATTTTCCTGAATAAAACAGATTCTAAATATTGTGAGTAAATTTAAAGAAACCAAGAGAAAGTCAGTCAAGACTTCAGTGGCCACCCTGGAGGCAGCAGAGAAAGTCTCTGGAAGAATAAAGCAAAACAATATGCTTTGAGTTGTGTTGTCTTTAACAACTCAATACACCTTTCTCATAAGCAAAATGATCCCTCCATCTCTACAGTCACTGCAATATCTCTAAATGTTATGTCAGACAAGAATACAATCTTTGGTAAATGTATGGGAACAACAAGTCATTTAATTAGTACCGATAGTTTGCACAATTTTTAAGTTTCATCTTTGCTGATTCCGATTTAGATGTCAGCGGCACAAACGGTCAGTAGTCTGATGTTTTCATGCCTGATAAACTATGCAGCTAAAATGCATCGATTCTGAATCAAATATCATTGATCATCTTAGTGTTCTTTCATATAGGCTTGGACAAGAAAGAACTGATTAGAGGCCCCAGAGATTAGAGTGAGCCTCTGTGTTTCATAAATGAACACATAAATAGTTCAGATTTTGACAGGCGATAGATTAATACATCTGGATAGAAATGTACTGCATATACCGAGAACAGAGGTTGACCATGCTGCCACTTACGGAGATGCTTTGAATAGCAACTAACAATCAATTTTCATTATTGATTATTCTATTACTCAAACTCTGTTGATACACTATTTATTTAGTCTACAAATGCTGTTATAAGTGTTTATGGATCTATTTGCGTACATAACAGTTTATTTGTTAATTGTATTTTGCATTATTAATCTAAAGCTGCAAAGTAATGCAAGTTATCAAATAATCGCAGAGTAAAAAGTACAATATTTACCCCTGAAATGCAATGGAATAGAAGTATAAAGAACAAGTACCTCAAAATTGCACTCAAGTAAATTACTTGAATAAATGTACTTAGTTACTTTCCACCACTGGTTATGAGTTTGAATGTTTTTTAATGCTGACTTCTTGATGTTTTTGTTGCTTCTGTTTCCTGCTTTAAGAGGGATCTCTAAGATGATCGAGCACTGCGTCTCCTGATCTTTTAAATATAATATATTGGAATATTAACAATATTTCCTGAATGTTTATAAGTGATTTACAGCAGGATTGTGTTTAGTATTGACACATGTTGAAGTGGACATTACCCTTATTAGTTATTAGGAGGTCAGTCATTGAGTGAGACTTTAATTTCCCATAATAACCCATATCATATAGAATAGCCTATTACATAATTAGAAGTATGAGTAGTAATTATAGCTTCATTACTTGTAGTTTATTACAGTCTGAATCTTTAAAATTTCATCTATTGTAATGCAGTCTGAATTATATATTTTGGGCAACACAGACAAAAAGACTACCTGACTAAACATTATATGCAAATATGTCTTTCCTGCTTGCACCATCACTACTTCAGAAGAGGCTCCAAGATGAATTTGCTCTCTTACGAAACAGTCTCACGGGCACCAAGCTATAACTAATCAGTCACTGACATTGCCAGAGTTATATTTCAGCAATGTTTTTTTGGTATCACTTCATCTTTACAAACAGCTTCATCTGCAGCACTGTTTATCTGGAGATCAAAACGTAGACAGTTACTCCAATGTCATCACAATGTCCATCTGTCAGTTCTTTCAGGTGCTAATCACTTGCTTTGCTCTTCATGAAATAGTTTTATTCTTCGCTGTTTGTCAGTTGACCTTGTAATTTCGGGCCATTCAGAACTAATTACGTGTCTGATTTGATTTGAGCTGCTTTTGTCACTGCCTGCCTTCCTGGACTGTCTTCTACAAAGGAACATATTTCCCCCTTGAAATGCCATTGCATGACATGACGTCAAAAGAAATGGCAATCCCAATGAGCTCTGCCTAAAAGAAGGAAACAAATCACATACTGTCTCCTGCCTGTTAGACAGACAATCCTTTTAAATGCCAATAGTTTTCATAATGATATTTTTCACATGACCAGAATACGATGATGTGTGATCCATTTTAGGCTTTCAGTGTATTCATGATATGACAAAGCAAGACGGATTACTTTGGAGCATCACAAATAATTAGGACTGCAAATACTGCGAGACAAATGTTGTTCTAAATGGCTGTCTTCTGAACATACAGAACTATATTTCATGTCTTGATTGATTTATTACAATTTTCACGCCTCACTGATCCACCGCCATGCATGAGTAGACAGAGAAATTCATCCAGCAAATCTCCATTATCTACTGCAAGTCAAAATATAGCTGTTCACAATAGCATATGCTCACGTTAAAGGGTCAGTTCACCCAAATGACAAATTACTCATAGTGGTGTCTTGTAGTAATAAAATCTCAAGTAATACATTCATCAATTACCTATGGGACGCATACCTATACCTTTTTTTCCAGTAATATCTATGGATTGTGAACATGCGCATGTGTATAGCAACTAAATGTGGATGTACAGTAGATGTGCGTCCAGTCTTCATGCTAAGATAAGCTAGTCATCTCCTGGCTCAGACTCAATAATTGCAAATACAAATACATGTATACAAATATGTGAGTGAAATCAATCTTCTAATCTAATTCTTAGCATCAAAGTGAATAAGCATGCATATCCTAGAGTAGGTAAAGTAGAATGCACCATGAAAATCAATGGATGCTCTTTCATATCAGCTTTGCCATCAATATTCTAGCAACTTGCTGCTGGTTCACCGACAACTTCCTCTTACATTAGTGTAATCTATGGATCAAACTTCTGATGAGATTACAATCCACTTTAATCATGATACTGTAAATCGCAAGGGTTGGACCACCCCGTTAAGCCGACTCATATTTTGCTCTGATACTGGCTGGTAAATACTAAAGCAGAGGCTGTGGGAGGAGAACACACAGGGAACCTGCCTGATGTGCTGCTGCTGAGGTGACCAGAACAGCAGTTAGCTATAATAGTTTTCTAACAGGGGTTGCATGGCAGGTAAGACCAATTACTTTGGACATTGATTGCGCTCCCTATCTTTGATCATGTAATTGCTTTGAGACAAATGAGAGAGGTTCTTCTGCTAAACAGTTCAAATCGATTGTTGTCATTCTTAGACCAGAGAGAGCGAGAGAGCAAATCATGCCATCACTCTTACATTATCTGATTGAGTAAGACTAAGTTTATCATTATGTAATTTATTATGATCACTTTATTTGCGGATCTGAAGCTTGTGTACTTTAAAATACTTTGTTTCTCTTGTCTTTAAACTCCAGTCTGGCACTTTTCTATATATATTCACTTTCAATAGAGGCCAAGGCTTCTCATCATGGTTCCAAACACTTATTGATGAAATCATTGATTTATGTTTGAGTATGAGGGTGCAGATTACGCTACATTACACCATAGTTTCTCAAAGTGCGTCCCGCAATCTGTCTGGTTGCATGGTGTCGCAGGAAATACGTTCTGACATCATCAATGCTAGTGCTGTTAGGGAAAGCTAATGATGTCAGTGGACATCTCTACAGTTTAATGTCGAAGTGAGATGGAAAAGACATTTTGTTTTATGTACGCACTTGTTCTCTGCAGCCTCTCAATCATATATAAGCTCTGTAAATTGACACTCCATGTTGTAGTATATCATAAAAATGTATTCAAGAAGTGATAGTGTAATCTGCCATAAAACGTAAAAAAAATAATATATCCAAAAAATGTGTAGTAAATAGTATGCCATGAAAATGTCATGAATAATGTCATGGAATAGGGTATCAAAAGATTGTCATAGTTGTATGTCATATGCAATTTCATACTCAAATGTCATAGTATAGCATGTCTTAAAAGTCTCCACGGTTCCTGGATGTTTCAGGAAAAAAAAGAAACATCTGGTAATATCAATCACCTCAGGATTAGTGTCTTACCGTCCTGTGCATCTTGTCCTCCAAATCTTGGTTGATCCTCTGAAGAGCTGCATAGCTACTCTGGATCCTAAAAGAACAGATAATAATCGTTATGGCCTGATTTGAATACAAACCACAACACATGAAAACTACAGAGTATTTTACTGTTCATAGTTAAATAAGCACCTGTAATCGCCACATCATTTTAGACAGAGAAATAAGTAAATTAATACATCAAGGTGCTGACAGAGAATCTCGGAGGGGCTTTGCAGGATATTTTAAGAACTGTCTCAGATTTGGAGATCACTCAGGATAAAATCTACTGAGCCATATGTTTAAGGGACACAGCATAAAATACTAAGAAATATTCATATTGTAGGATTGGATGTCAGTAAACACACATAAGCAGACTCTAACTCTACAGCTGAAGACTAACATGTTTATTTGTCTCTTGTATTTCTCCTATTAATTCTCTCGTCACTATTGCTTTTTGGTAGGCGTCCAGCCCATTAGTGAGCTTAATGGAACAGGAAGTCTACTCTATTTGTTAACTTGTTCCCAACGTTTTTATCATGTCACCTCTCAGTTCAGTATCATATTTTCAAATTAGCTAGCAGGCCTGAGAGAGTGTTGATAAACCAGCATTTATGGCTCCATTAATCAGACAGACATGGAGAGTGGGCAGTGGAGACAATAAGCACAGACAAATAATAAAACAAAGACCTGAAAGAGATTCGAGCTGGCACAGAGGTAACGTAAATGAAAATGAAAGAGTGGCACTGGAAGAAAATGGTTCACTGATTAATGGCGAGCATAAGACCTGAGTTTGTCATGCACCACTCTTTGTCTTCAACAAGCTCTGCATATCATTCAGATATTTAAAATTAGGACAAGAGGGTTGGGATTAGGTTGTGCCAATCATAACAAAAAAAGATGGAATTTGTGCATAGCCTAAGACGATCGCACTCAGGTCATGACAGTCCCCTCGTCTGCCAGATGGCCATACCGTCTGCCTTCCAAGCTTCAGGGACGAGTTTAAAGGTGCAAGATCCGATATTGGGAGCATTGCGATTGCCTCTCAATGACTGTCAACAGCTTTAGCACCATTTTAGCTAACAGTGAAAAAGGGGCTGACAGTGTTTACCTGATGGGGAACTGCAGGCTGGGTGCTACCCTTCCGCGACGGCAATATCAGCTGTAACCACTGTATGAGAGCAGTGCAGAGCAGCGGCAGTGAGCTGACCAGTGGGTCACGCTCACGTGCACGAACATTCAGTAAAAGCCTACACGGCCGTCAGCAAAGCAAGGAGAAGCTCAGATAACAACACACACAGAGGGGGAGTGACTTCATTCTCTGAGAGAACACAATCTGGGTTACAGTTAATAAAAAGGCCAAAGTTAATTTCAGGTCTGTATGAACTCTGGTCTGCTGCACGAAAGTCAGATGCCCTCCAAGTTGCACGCTACTTCCTGCACTGAATGTCAGCATTAGGTGGAGGTGTGCACTCTACCAATATAGACTTAATTACTTAGGATACTGGGTTGCAAATGAGCTGAGTAACACTGTCATGACCTTTAATGACATGCTACAGCATGTGAAAACCCTCTTCATCTATCACCTAATTTCCTCTTAGACGCAACACAACTTTGCTGGGTTTCTTCCTGATGGAGAAGTTACAGTTCTGCATTACATAAGAAGGCAAGCTGCCCCCAGAGTCATGCACATGTGCTCACACACCTGCGTAGTTTCTCTGTAAATTTCTCCAGTTCCTCCTGGGCCCGTCGCAGCTCTGTCTCGAGGTACTGCCGAGTGGAATCAAACTCAGTCTCCACCATCTCTAGTTTGTGGGTTGTGTACGACAGTCGCTTACGGAGGTCATCCTTGTGGTCGTGGAAAGAGCTGAACGTGCACCAGAGAGAGAAAAAACAGGAGGACACAGTCACAAAACTACTGTTATTGCGGAGAAAAACACACAGACAGAGAGGAAAACCATAGACTATAAAGTAAAGAGTATATGTGTTTGTGTGAGAGGGAGGTATCGGGATGAAGTGCAGCTGGAGTGTAATCCAGTTTGAAGCGAGAGACGTCCCAGGCAGGGGTAAAGCAGTGTCTAATGGGGAGGAGGAGATGGATGGAGAAGGAACACTAATCATTTTCCATTCACAGGGAGGGAGCAAAGCTGGGAAAGGAGCTCCCATAGCTGTGCTGGTGAATTCCATTACACAACTATTGAACCTCTGAAAGAATAGGAAAAGATTTTTTGCCCCCAGACACAGACCATGGGTGATTCATAGAAGAAGAGAATATCGAATGGACCATGGTTGTGTGTGTGAGTGAGCTTTAAAATAGGATGAAAGAGACAGAAAGAGCATTAGAGAAAGTGAGTGAGAGACCACAATAGCACTGATTCAACAGCACCACCCTCATCAACAGCAACAACATACCAGTCAGGGAGCAATATTTTCATTCATTTGATGCAGGTTTGAGCGTGGGGGATGAAAACACACAGACTGGGACCGACTGAGGGAATGGATGGGGATGTTGGAAGGCTAGAGATGGGGAGCAGTGGCTGTGTGAGCGCTGGGGGATTTAGCATTTTGCCAGACTGATGGATACTTGGCTCACGGAGAAGTTTTATGGCTCAGCGCTGCCAACCAGCAGGCGCAATGAGTGCACCTCCAAGTCCACCTCGGCCCAGAGCCTCAATTAGGAAGCCGGCAGTAAAGAAGGAGAATATGGTGTCCACAGAAAGACTTATAGACTGTGTTGTGTCAATACGAGGGATGGACTACCTTTAATATCTGGGTTGGTTGAAGATCTCCACAAATCAAGTCTTCATCAAGCGTTAAGAAGTCTGAATATAAGTAGCCAAGCAAAAATAAGCACATTAACGTAAACCCTGACATTGGAATAGTAAATAATCATCCAGTGGTGTGCAAAAAAAGCACAACAATTCACCAAACTTTAAAGGAATAGAAAAATGATTTGAAAAATATGCAAATTGCTTTGTGAAAGTGGAGTGTAGTGACTGATACCACTTTCATCATGTGTTTGCTAGTAATATTTGTCTTCAAATCTCTCTCTTGCAAAGAAAGCACATTTCCCAAAATGTGGAATTGTGCCTTTATAAATGTTTGACAGACAGACAGATGGACGAGTCATTGAAGAGTTTATACATCCAACAGGCTCAGGTTTGCAGCTTCAGCCCACTGTGCTTGCCTGACGCTACAACAAAAAAAGTCTTTACAACGTCTCCGCTCTCTAACACCTGCAAGTGATGTTGTGAAATCACATGGCAAAGAGCCAGAGAGTTATTATAAGCAGCTAACATGCGAAAATTGCCCTGGGCTCTTATCACTATGTAATGCCAGTTTAATTAAGTCTGACTGCACAGCCATTGATTATTTCTTTAGGGTGTTACTACAATGGATTTTTGTCCAGATGTATTACACTGTTGTTGTTTAAGTGTAGTAGAGCATCAACTTGGATGTAGATGTCAGCTAATACAAGACATAAAGATATAAGAGACAAGATATAGAAAGATGAATGATGGGAATGAATAGATGCAACATTATGCTTTTAATGGCTTTTTAATGGTCACGACCTCCTGGTGAGAATCCATTTCCATTAGTCAAAATGAAGGAATGAGGCTGATGTTTAGAGTTTAAAACACTCCCCAGACTGACTCATCTTACCTTCTTTTCTGATGTTTGCAACCATTTCTCTGTGTTTTGAGGGCAGTTTTGCCAATGTATATCTTTTTCATATTTTTCTCTCTGCCTCGGCTCTCATGTGTGTATAGTTGCCTCTGCTGCTGCTGGTCGGCTGGATGTTGAAGCCAAGTTTGAACTCTAACCACAAACCAACAGTGAAAGCTCTAAGTCTTGCCTGGGGAGGCAGATAGGAGTTGGCTATCTGTGATGACCCTGGCAAGAGAGCAGAGAAAAACAGCTTTGAAGTCCCACAGATTTAGCAGCACATTTTGTTCTGTTGACTCCAGACAAAAACAGAGATTTTTTGGGTGCATTGAGAAAATGAGCCAGTGTGGTATGACGAAGCACAGCAGGGGGCTCAATTAAATAAGTTCAGTAAACAAAATTAAATGGCATGCAAGACTTTGAATTATTGCGCATCCAGTTGAACTCTGGACTCTGCTCTTCCTATTGAAGGATAAATGCACAAAGCTCTTCTTCCTGTAATTCTAAAGTATGTGCACACATTTTAAAAAATACAACCAAAGTTACACTGTGAAAACTACAACAAAATATTTTCATCAGTTGAGCCGCCTTTTCATCATTTACTTTTCTCTCTTGTTGGGAACAATTGACTGCAGTCACCATAAACTACAGGACCTTATGGAATAGTGAGTTATTGACCAGCTGACCAGAGAGGTTACTCCTCAATGAATCAGTGTTATGATGTGTGTGATTTACATCATCATCTCTCGTTCTAGGGCTTGAACTCAGGTCTCCTGCACCGTAAGAACTTAATTACCTGCCACTAGCAAGCATTTGATGCCAGAATGATAATAATTTATTTATGCAGGTGAATTTCATGGGTCTTGTTTATATCAATGCCCACATTAGCTATTATTTTGGTGTTACAAATCATAAAATGTCAAATAATTGCATCTAAAAATATAAGATCTATTAAAAGTAAAGAATTGCTAGAGCTCGCTCTAGATTTCTCCGCATGTTAAAGCACCCAGTAGCGAGCTGTAGTAAGAGCATTAAGAGTTTGGAGGGTGGTGTATCTGTTTTAGCCTTTCCAAAACCAAAACCACAAGTGGAAAAAGTAAAAGGAATGGATTAAACCATGTGAGCTGCAAACAATAGCACGTCCAGCTAACTAGTTTACTGCAGTAACCTAATCGTGCATTGCTTCCAAGGAGCATTTCATTAGCTGACAACATTTAGTGGGGTGAGGTTACATTAAAAGGTCCATTCACAACTAGCACAACCCCTGTGTAGTATTTCCTCACTGTGTGGAAGCAGGTCCTGGGTGATATCAGTTTAGGCTAACGTGAGTGGCTCTGAGGTGCTCTTTGTTGGATTTGGGCAAGTTTTCACCCCAGTAAAAGCAGCCAAACCAGTTATGTTTGCCAAACACATCTGTCAGTCCTCACCCCTGAGGCCTTTTCTATAGTAATGTTTAAAGTGAAACTTAATGTTTCAAATACAAACAATAAAGAACAAATGACGGGGGTGATGCTTAGCGAACTGTCAATTTACCACCAAAAATACACAACATAACTGGAGCACAAACATTTCCATAAGTGCATATATTTGCCTTTTAAACGCCAATATGTCTTGTCCTTAAAAGCCAAGTAAGCATAAATGCATAAATAGAGACCAGCAGCACAACTTATCAGTCCGTGCAGAGTGGCAGGGTAGAGGTTCAACAACAAACTGGAACAAATGTTTTGTCGCCTGCTGCAATTTCTAATGGCACCACTACTTATTATTTTTAATCTCCCTTCAACACTGGCTCAGGAAACAATGGCAGTTTCTGGAAACAGTGTTAATATGGTGGCAGTAGCCATTTTCTTATCTGCAAGTCACAGAGGGAAAGAGAAAGTGTTGTATAGAACCCATCCTCACATGTACAGACATTACCACACACCTTCCTGCGGTGCATACCAAACACTGTACCCTCACTGTATCTTAACACCCCCCAGGGGATAAACAGCAGATCTCAGGGCCCCAGGTTTTGCTTGGCAAGGAAAACACAATCAACATAAAGTAACAAATCTAAATCCTCAGAGAACCTCGTGATAGGCTTACTGCTGTCTCTACACTGTCAGAGAAACTCAAAATAGGAACAGATATGTAAATCAAGCACACTCTCCTCTCAACAGTGTTACCTCATAATTGTTAAAGTGGGGATGTATACACGAGAAAACCCTGTTTACCTGGAAAAAAAAAACTTTCCCAATGTGTTACACCATGTCATAATAATCAGACTACAGGGATTACAACAGATGTTTGTTGTATTGCTGCAGACTATAACCTACTTCAGGCAGTTCCCACCACCCACTCTGCCTGTAGACTTTCTCTCTTTCATGGTACGGACGTCAAATGACTCCAGTTTAATTTAGGAAAAAACGTAATGTGGAACCCGCTAAAGGTCACAACAAGCAAGCATCCATCTTGGATCTACAATGGGGAGCCCCTAATGGTGCCCACATGTTGATTTACTAGAATTGAGCTACGGGAGGTGAGCGAAGTAGTCACTGCCTACCAGATATACTATTCACAATGACCAAATGAGGACATTCAACTTGAATGGCCTCTGTGCCATCCCTCCTGAAGTCTGCTGTTAAGTGAGCAGCTCACAGAGACACAATCACCATCTCCACTGTAAACAGCCTTCATGTTCCAGCTTAGAGCAGTGTTTCACAAACTTTTCTGGGGATCCACTTTTTAAAAATGACAAACCATCATTACCCAATTCTTAATAAGTTTTATCATTAAATCATGAGATAAGTGAATTTCTGCATAAATGAAAGTTCCTGACCGTTTCACTTCCATTTCCGCATCACCTCATATCATCTTGAATAGGTAAACCAGGCATTTCAAAGATACACATTAGATAAAATACAACCTTATTTATGCATGTGTTATTAAAAAAATATACATATTTTAAATACTTTATAAATTAGACTAAATGCATTTAGGCGGAATAAAAATGCAACTCATTTTTTAACAATGACTTGTAAGGCAACCCATGGACACTTTGAGTCTGGTCAAGATAAATGTATTTTGGCACCCCCATAAAATGCTCTATGGTTTGGTAACGCACAAACACTGCTACTTGAGGGGAAGGAAAGATTGTGATCAAGTTGGAAAGTGACCAACAATGACTGTGAAACTAGACGGTATCAAAGTCAAATGCAATTCAGCGGCAATGTCTCACCACCTTATTTGTAGGGAAAAGTGAAAACACCCATAATGTTGGTAATACTGCCTCATTGCAAAGGACACCTTCAGTAAGTTTGGTAAAGTTGAACCGGGACATCTGTGTAGTAAGCTGTGATGATTTTACCATTTCCCTTCTGTTCTCTTCCAAAGAAGTTTGGCTAACTGACTTGCCTCGCTTGTCTTATTTTAGCAATGTCACTGCCTTCCCAGACCTTAGCAATTAAATTAATGTAAAGTAATGCAGTAGGAAAGATAAGACCCGAGTTTCAACAAACCAGAATTATTCCTCAAAATGCATCTCAAATGCTGCGTAACTCAAAAGGAGGACTCAAACAGCCTCAAAGCCACAAGAGACCAACCAAGAGCAGAAGTGGTGATAATTAGCAACATTATTTAACTATTTCTTTCCCTTGGTATGGTCTACCACATCGGTTGAAGCTTTACTTGAGTTGTGTATTTCTTCTGATGCAAGACTCCAGAAATACAACAGTCTCTTGTGCATGCTCCACTACCAGCAGCCAGAAAAAACAGCTCTGTGGATTAAGTCACCAGAGCAATGATGATGACTAGTCAACACAGTTTGCTGCCTGAAGACAAGAGCTGCAAATGAGGAGCAATCCCCATGCAGTTTATCTCTCCTGTAGTGTCTATCTACATATCAAAAGAGACTCAACCTGAAGTGTGTAGAAGGAAGAAGTCGTTGGCCTTGAAACTAATACAACTTTTAAAGCACTCTATCTTCTTATAAGTATCAGTTTTTATTTGCAGTTATATCGAATCATATGTCATTGATAACGTTTGCATTGATTAACTGTATGAGGGTTTAAATTAGGAACTTGAAGTACAGCAACAGACAGAAGTATCGGACCTGACCATGATGTCAAACACAGTTCAGAACCACACAGCAAATATGTTTGAAATTCACTGTCGGGCTGTGTGACCATAATCCTGTTTTCCAACACAAATTGCTCCTGGGGATAAATTAAATGATAAAGCATTGTTTCCCTTGCTGCACTCCCTCCAGCTCCTTCATGTATCCTTGGCCCTGTTATTGGCAAGTCAGTCATAGCATTAAAGTTATATTTGTGTAGAGTAGAAGCATATGTGTGTGTGTATGTAACACGCTTCAGAGGAAACAGCAAGCGTTCACTAAACTTTGACAATTTGTGAGCATATTTCACACTATTCCTGATCAGATCAGATCATATCAGGGAGCCTACAGGGGGAGCTTTACCACATCTTGCTGTAGTGTGTGTCTGTTTTGCAGTTCAGGGCTGGGTAGCCTCTGTTTGACTAATTCAGAATTAATAATTCAGAAAGTGGAAGCCTCACATTGTAGACTTTGTCTACCATCACTTTAGCATATTGTTCAGTATGTAACAGCACGTTCGATGCTACATGCAAAATGTATATGGGCTTCTGACTATTGTTTAAAGACAAACTTTGAACAAATGTGAATCTATCCTTTATGATTTTAAGAATGGTAGGAGTTAATTGAAACCTCTGATGAGGATATTCTATTTCAGTCCCCAATAAGTGAGTCAATACCATTTTCACCACTAAGTGACATAAAAGCCATTTTGCCTCGATGGAAAAGCTTCACGTGGCAGCAGACTAAATGACAGAGAAGCTTTAGTAAATTGCAACCCCATCTGTAACTTACTGCTGCCAAACCATACTTACTACAGTGTGCTACTGTCAGCTCACAGCTCCTCATAGTCTAATTTAAAACTGCTTTATTATGCTGCATAGTGCAAGATATATTTGCATTGACTGGATCACCATCTGTCACAGCACAACATGAGATACTGGATATGACTGGTTTATCGTGACATGCAACAGGTTTAACTGTCAACTTTAGACATTATTTTGGTAGCAATTAATAATACTGCATTTGCTTCTTCAAAGACAATTTACTAGTCAAGGCCAATTAGATAATGGCTTGTGGCTCTGGAGAGAGTTTGGGTTGTTTATTGTTTCCCGAGCAAGGACGATGTAAAGTTGCAGTATGGAAAGTCTGGGATCTATCTTGACCCATACTAGAAACTAAAAGTCCTATTTTTTATCTGCATCTTGCAGGTTACCCGACTTTATGGACATGTAATACTAAATTGCTGAAGTACTCCATAAAATGATCTATTCTTCTCAACATAGAAATTGGTTTTTGAATGTTTTTTAAAAGAAAAGAAAATAATCCTTCCTTCAATGTTGTCTGAAGATTGACAAAGTAACAGACTTTCAGATTCATCAGGTCGAATTCAGTTGATGTCCCCTGTTACTTTAAAGATGTTCCCTTCTCATCGAGAAAAACAACTCCAGCTGTCCGAAATTCAATTCTCCTTTTAGCCCGGGGCACAATTGTGAGATCTGCTTAAATTTGACCTCCTTTTGTCGTTTTAACAATAGCTGCCCTGGCAGTAAAAAAGGTGACATTAATTAAGTAAACTTGATAAAGATTTTATGTTTCGTATTGCTGTACCTGTATGTAATAACAAAATGTGTGACCGCCGAAGGCCAGCAGTTCAGTGCGCTCTTCACCCCTTAGCGAGTCAGAGAGAGAGAGAGAGAGAGAGAGAGATGCATCTATACATTGTGTGTGTGTGGAGATTTCTCCATTGTTAAATTTCTCTCAAAGTGAATGAGTTCAGTCCTCACTGGGGTTGCCACGACAACACAGTCGTGACATGCCCGTGCTCTCCGGCTGGCAGAGAAACGAGACCGTCACAGACCGTGGAGAACGAGATGCCATATACGTAGACAGAGAAGTGATTTAAAGTTGTAAACCGTAAGGCAACTGCTGCTGCTGGTTTTACCGGTTCACATTTATACTCGGTACATGTTGTATTTAGTTCTATCTTCATTCTTTATGCTTCACTTTAGACGTGGTAAATGCTCATATTGGAGTATTCTAGCTTTTAGCCATGCTAGCGGCATACGGATGGCCATGTTGGTCAGTCAGACCACCGCTGTTCTAATCTATTAGATGGTTAGCCATGCAAATTAGTACTCCCATTCATGTCCCCCTCAGGACAGGTAATAACTTTCATCCCTTAACTCTCCTTCTGTAGGACCATCATCCTGCGGCATGATGTTAATTTGTCCTGGTTTATGACCAAACACCTGTCAAACTAATGGCATCCCCATTAGCCTGTACTCTTCAATTTCCCTGTTTGAGATCAATAAAAAGCATCTTACCTTATTTGTAGTTGGCCAATAGCTTTATTCAAAATGTATAGTAATTTAAATCTGCAGTAACACACATTGACATATATCTTTTATGCTAATACGGCAAAGAGTTGCCTATCTATGCATTCAGCAGCACAGAGTAACATCCATTTGAAGTTGTTTTTCCTTGTACAATATTGCCTCTCCTTTTAGCTCTTGTTTTTAGTCTCTACCAATTATTGAAATAAATATTTGTCTCTTTAGATGCTCCACTATGTTCACCAGCTATAGTTGGTAACTGCCTGTATGTTGTTTGCTTCCCGGGCAGAGAGTGCACAGTGTGTTTTCAGAGCTTTTATTCCGCTGACGATGAGAGTGGTGAGACTGAACCAAAACAGTCAAGTTGCAGGCTGGAAAAACAAAACAATGAAGGACAATACAAATCTCTATAGAGCTGAGGGGAACTGCAGGTCAGGCAGTGATAATTCTCAGGGGGTTCTTCACTACAAGCAACTCCTTTGCCATACAAGTTGTTCTGTGATCAATTGTTCATATGAAAATGTTGATTATAGTGACTGCAAAACAGCAAATTAACATCATACTCTTATGTATCTGCAAACCAAAACGTTTCACTATAACAAAACATTACAGAGGACTGAATAAACTACTAAACACAACTTCTGAATCTGAATTCAGAGACTTCAGTTCACAGCACCTTGCCACTTCACTGCGTACTCAGCACTGCTTAGCACCAAGAAGTACAAAGGGCCATGATGACCAAATTTTGCCTTTGAAGAAAAGTCCCTGCGCTTTTCACCTTCAAGGCTTTTTTCTCTTTATCGTCCCAGCCCAGGGTGGACATCTGGAAATCCACCATGCATTACACTGCAGGAGGCTGCCAGGGGTTGGTGAGCTTTGTGTGCATGTAGGCTGAACATACAGCGGCATGCACAGCACTCCAGGGTGCAATCAAGCATTTATTGAGGTGTAATGGTTGCAATAGGTGCTCAGTTTGTTCAACATGTAGCTCTTAAAGTGCAGTGGGTGTTTGTTTGTTTGACGAAATGCTTCTTGTCCGGTGAAAGGGCATGTTTTATTGCATCCTGACACACACAACATAGGCCGGAGAACAAATCATGTAATAGGAGTAGTATCTGAACCATGACCCTGAACAAGAGGGATCAAAACTAAAGCTGATGCATTAATAAGCTGCAAGAACAAAGAAAGAATAATGAATCAGAGCTAAAATAGCCTGTGTGGAGACAGTGAGATTAAATTTAAACCCATGTGTTGAAGTGCTCTATCCTTTTGTATGTTATATGTGATGATAAAAAACACAGATTTTACTCTTTTGACGCACATAGACTTTGTGTTTACTGTATGGGCGCTCCAGAGGCTTTTGTTGCTCCACTGACCCTGTCCTGTTGGTTTTGACAGAGCCTTATTAATGCTCTGTGGCAGACAGGCGTATCTCCAATAGTCCAGGGAG